TCAGAATGGCCTTCATTATCAAAGATTCCTATGACTTCTTCTTCTTCTTCTTCACAGGCCCATCTTCTTGCACTCTCCCACTATTAAAAAAAAGAAAAAAGGGTGCAGCACCCAGTTTACTTATTTGCACCAAAGTAAAATATTCACTATATTCCCAGCCTGTGAAAGGTCTGTGAAGAATTCCCCATAAACGAGCACGAGAAATTCCACATTACTTTGGATCCGAAACCCTAAATTTCACACCAATTCCGCCTCTGGTTTAGTCCAGTGCTTGATCATCATGTGGCGTCACATGACCAGGCCAATAATCCCTGATTTAGGGTTTCGAATCCAAATAGAGAGAGAGCGAGTGATTAATTATAAACACGCATGACATGCTTTCGTAGTGCTTTAATTCACAGCTACTGCACAGCAGGACTCTTCGGACAAATTTCGGTTTGTGCGCTGTTACCCCCGCAGTCACTGATGCTGGAAGCCATTGCGTTACTAGTTAAAAAGTAAAAAATTTTACACATTAGATTGCATTTCAGTGTTGATAATTCGAGCACTGATATAGAAATGATTTCATGGCAGTGAGATTGAAGGAACCCTTTTGTGTGTTTTTGTTTTAAATAATCTCCGCCTCACTCTCTCCGTTGACCCCGCATGGACACTAGCAGCGGCATTTATGGAGCGTCAGCTTTCAACCCACCACCGACTCACCATGTGATTCCATCATGCTATACCCGCTACACTCGCGCACGCAATTGCTCTCAGCCTCCGCTATCCTCGATCGAAATTGGGTTTGAATCGTGGATCTCTCGTCGGACTCGAGTTCACTGAGATCTCATCGACAACGGACTGATGCCGCATTAGGGTGCGCTAAATTCTGATCAGAGACTGTTGGGGGGGGGGGGGGCAGCGCTGCAGTCTTGATCTGATGAGTATGTAAATCAGTTGAACGGTTTCGCTTGCATCAGGGTGGTATCCGTAACTCCCTACCCAGTTCGATGTTGCACGGATACATGACGAGTTTTGACGTCGCGGACAGATTGCCTTGTACTTTTTTTTTTTCCTGTGGCCAGACGAATACACCCGGCGTGTGACAAAAGAAACATGGCTTTGGGGATTTCGTGGTGTGCCACACAGAGAGCGAGCAAAGCACGTAACTGGGGCTGCTTTAAGGACTTGACGGACTGGCTCTCGGACAGACCAAGATTTTTCACAAGTTTGTGAGCTTTGCAGCCCAGGTGGCGAACTTTCTCCCTTGAATTCTGGAGTGGTAGTAATAATGGTAGTAGTTTTATTGAAGGTTTGCAGCAGGTACGAGTCTGTGTATGGAAGATTATGATTCATGCCGAGCTTATCAAAGCGCGCACGCATCCTCGCTGTGTGTCCCTTCTTGTGGATGTAGACAGCCCACTCCGACCGAGCGTTTGCAGTGCGACAAACGTGACATCTTGTTGCCCGCTGCTTCATAAGCCTTGTAGTGCATGCTGTGTAGACCACTTGGTTGCTATGTTACGGACCTTGCTGAGCGACCCACCACAAGATCCTGTTCGAGGGTTCGTGTCGGGTGGCAATCTCGTTCGAATCTCAGTTTGCTTGAGAGAGGGTCTCGAGAAATTGACTTTATCGAGAACTGCTGGTTACTCAGGAAATTATCTCCATTGCCGTGTACATTGCATCGGCGTGCTCACCGGGGAGCTTGAGTCTTCACCGTAACCTGCAATGACAAAAGTTTTCAAAGCTTACATGATTTGCTCCTGAATTGAGTGGCACGGCACAGCTCACGGGATCGCCTGTTCAGTGCGATTCTTAAACTTCTTTAGAACTGCATCCTTTCCATTCGCTGAGAAGCTAGACTCAAAAGTAGCTCAGTCAGTGTTTGTTCCGTTGGACACATAGAGTGTTTCTCCGCATCTACTACGAGTATCTACCATACAAAAGCACATAAATTGATTGATTGGGTGTTGTTTTGGTTCAGAGATCGTTGTGGGCAATTTACCTCTTCCTTACCACAATATCCTGATTAACCGCGGACAGCATCCCTTTTCTTCATCCTATTCAATCCTCCACTGGTGCTGTGGAGGCAGGAGCATTCCGAGCTGCAAAACAGTTGCCGGAGTGTATCTCTGTTCTATTTGCGCCATTGAGTGCAAGCACGCAGCCCTCACATACACCAAAGGCCCAAAGGAAGAAACAAAACAGGAAAGAAATTGCACGGATGATTAGTACTCCCACAGCCATCTCCTCTGTCGTATACATCTCTGCATTCGAGTCATAATCACGGAAGGCACAGTACTCTTCCCACATTGATTTCCATTCAATTCACCCAGTTTTCGGTGTTATGGGTTTTAATGTAGACGTAGAAGCAAGTTCAAGTTTGAGTGGCTACCAAAGCAGCGGTACCGAGTCGCTGCAAGGAGGAGTGGGAAGTCAGCCCCATCGTTGTCTTGCAGTGCTTTCTGGCCACGAAGGTCACGTCGTCTCACTTGCTCTCGTAAGCGACCAAACGCTCTACAGTGGGTCTGATCGGGGCGATATTCGAGTATCTCGATGGCCACCCACCCAGATCATGCAAGACTGCGATGGCTCCCAATTCGGCCGAGTGGAGGGAAGCGTAAAGGCCATGGTGGTCGTGGGGCATAAAATCTTCACAGCCCACCAGGATCAGAAGATCCGCATGTGGAAGTGCAGCTCAAAGAGAGGAGCAGCCACGGGCCACAAACTTGTTGCTACTCTACCAACTGTAAAAGATCATGTGATGACTTACATCATGCCCAAGAGCCATGTGCAGGTCAGGGTCATCCCATATGCGTTGAAACCCATTTCTGTTCTATTGTTTTTCGAGGACTTTTATTTTATTTTATTTTTGGTTGGTTTATTCAATCGCGAGTTCCGATTATGTTTTTAAAGGCTATTGCGAATTTGATCTGTGCAGGTTCGTAGACACAAGACAGCACTCTGGATCGACCACCATGACACGATATCAGTGCTGGCTCTAGGGAAGGGTGTCCTCTACTCCGGCTCGTGGGACAAGACCATCAAAGTGTGGCGTCTCGCCGACTTGAAATGCGTTGAATCGATCAGTGCACACATCGACGCCATCAATGCGCTGGCAGCGGACCAAGCGCGGGGGTTTCTCTACAGCGGCTCCGCAGACGGCACAGTGAAAGTGTGGGAGCGGAGCAAAACGCACCTCATGGGCAAAACGCATCTCATTCGCCATGCCGCTGTCGCGATCCTGGAGGCCTCCAAGCACCAATCCGTAAATGCGCTCGCTCTCACCCCACAAGGCACCACATGCTACGCGGGGTCGAGCGACAAGTGCATTGCGGTGTGGGAAATGGACGACGAAGGCACTGGGAAGCACATGAAGAACGTTGCCATGCTGCGAGGACACCGTCTTGCTGTCCTCTGCTTGGCGACGGTGGCAAATCTCCTTGTGAGTGGCTCCGCAGACAAGACTATCCGCGTTTGGAAACGCAACGCGGACGGCCTCAGCCACCAATGCCTATCTGTGCTCCACGGTCACACCGGCCCGGTGAAGTGCCTGGCCGCTATGCTCGACTCTGCAATGGGCACAGGCCTGATGGTGTACAGCGGCAGCATGGATCGATCGGTCCGAGTCTGGTGGACATCATTGATAGATCAAGATGCCGAGAGCGGTACTTCCCCTTCCTCTCCCGACCTCGGATTCCACACTCCACGCGACAGCCCATTCCCCCCATTATTCCAAGCCGGTTTGGAATCAGTCCTTCGGAACAGACTGCAGCAGTGCAATTGATACCTCAACCAAAATAAAACAATACACCGTTCTCTCCAGCATCGCCGCTGCGATGATGCCCTACCATGCACGATTTCCTGTATAGCTCCGCCAACTTCTCATACCGCTACAGCGATGGAGCGTGTGTTCTTCAAGTGTAGCATTAAACCTCCTCGGCACGATTTTTATCAAGAGAACATACCACACGTATCTGTCTGAATTTGGATATGTAGAAAGAATCGTCATGGCACCTTCTCTTTCACTGATTCTCCGCTAGTTCAAGTTGAGTGCTGCTGCAGCAGCATCAGTCCGGCGCTTTTTTCCCTCCGCCACTGCCTGATGCCAAAGCTGAACTGTATCTCACAAGAATCTTGAGTGTGTGAATCCTGTGTACTAATACTTCTGCCAAGTTTAAACGAATGCTGTGGTGTTGTGGAGGATTTAGTTTTCCTTCCTCCCGCACATCAGCACTCCTTCCCTGCTTGCCGATATTGGTCGCGTGGGTCGACTACGAAACTACAACCAGTTGCAAAACACACATGAATTTGGTGTGCGTTTCTCAAAATGAGGTATGTAGAGTTACACAGTTGTAAACACCTACATTCACCATTTTCTTGAGGAAACTTGATTAGCAAATATTCGAGTTCAGGAACATTAGCTTCACATAGATCCCCTAAATGATTATTTTTGCATCAACCTAGTTGCTGGTTGCAGTAAAACTCACGATATTCATGATAAATAGATAAGAGGTAGCTGTTTCTCACGCTTGTCGATGGTGTGAATGCACCATGAATTGCATCAGCCAATGCACAATATTGAGTTGCTTCCTGCCAGGAATGAAGCATTCGAGAGTGGATTCACCACACAATCGTTCCTCTTCATTTGCCCCAACTTTTGCAAAAATCAAAATGTATATATAAATATATATATATATATATATATGAATAGGAGAATGTTAAATAGACCCAAGTTTTTACTAAATTGACCCACCCATCATAAAAAACAAATGACATTTAGATTTGTTTCTCCATTATTGAGTCTGCAACCAATGAAAATCAACCACATTCATCATGATTACTATATTCTTCATCAAAGGTGGATCTTTTATTAAAACATGGATTTATTCAATATTTCTGTATATATATATATATATATATATATATATATATAATTGGATTGATTCAAGTAAATGTAGATTTGCATCAAATATAGATTCATGGCATGTTGGACTTTCAACCTTTTAGTTTCTAACTTTTTAAGGTGTTGCTTGGTGGATATTTTATGATGGCTTGTAGTTGGACAAACCTATATGTTATGTTGAAATTGGATTCAAAATTGGAAGCAAAAATACACTCTAAAATACATATTTATAGGGTGTTTTGATGGAGGAAATTTTTGTAGAAGTTTGAATTGGTAAATTATAAAAATAATAAAAAAATTAAAAATTAAAAAATATTTTATGTTTTTGATGGATGAGGATCCAATTTTATTAAAAATTAGGCATTTTTTGGTTGTTAATTAGCAAGTGAAGCCATATTAGATGGAGCATGTATCTTTTTGACTCATCATTGTTGTTTCTATTTGATAATTTCTACAAATTGTGCAAATACTTCTTTTTTTCTTTCTAGCACATCATAATCTATTATAGATTCTATGTTGACACTTTATTAATAAATTTCTAATTCTCATACAAATTTCCATTATCCTATCTTCATTCAAGTTAAGAGGAAGCACAATATCTACCATTGTAATTTACTTAATTTATTTTAAATCTCCAAGTTTTTTTTTGTTTTAGTTTTATTTTGTAATTTAGAAAAATTATTTTTTTTAATAGAGTAGTTACGTCAAATAAATTTTTATTCTGAATTATTACTATATAACCAATTTAAATTTCATCATAAAAATATACATCGAAATATTTTGATTTTAACAATTTTGTTGCTGAAGCATCTTTTAATAAAAAAAAAATAATTATGATATATATTTTTTTATAAATACATTTAAAATTGAACTAATTTTAATATTTTATTCTGTTCTTTGTAAAATAAAATAATATAACATAAAAAAGAAAATTTTTAATTTCCCTTTTCTTCAAGTCCAAACATTTTGAATCGATCACAATATTCATTCCATAGATTAATAATAATATGTTCAATTTTTTAAAATCCAAAAACAAAATAATGATAGTTTATATGTTTATGGATTAAAAAAAAAAAAAAAACTTTTTATTTTATTTTATTTACTTATTTACATTTGTAAATAATTATGATTGTAAATCCTAAACCCTAGACAAATAAATAAAATGTTTGATATTTCATCATGATAAAAATTTCTTATTCACAAAATAATTAAACACGATGCAAAAATAATTTATAGATGTTTTTTGCAATTACATTCATCACTATTTAGACATTTTTAGTATAAAAATATGTTACAAATACTAATTTATACAAAAATAAAGGAAAAATTTTAAAAAAAAATAAATCTAGCACTAACTTCAAAACAAAACTTACGTTGAATGAATAAAATTTCAAAAATTGAAAGAATGATGAAAAAAATTAACATATATTGAATACATCATTAATTAACATACTATGTATTTCTGATTAAATGCTAGATAATGTTCCTTTTTTCTTTTTCCTGTTTCCACATGGATTTTTAAAATTGTAAGAAGAATCAAATGTTATATATAAGAAAGCATTTTTGGTGCTAAGAAATACAAAGATAGTTCATAATACCTTGAGCAACAGTACTCTGGGACCTAGTCAAGAGGGTTTTATATTTGCAAGAACTATTAAAAAAAATAAGACCAGAGTTATTTTTAATTCTTTCAACTTGATACTTAAATTTATATGTATATGTATACATATATCATGGATCGTGAGCCTATTTATTTGTATTGTTTTGTTTTGTTTTTTTTTCCCAATCTTTGTACAGTTACAGTTGTATTGTCCATTAAGTTGATTCTGTTATTTTTGTGAATACCTTTTCATACTCTTTGACAAAATCTATTAGATTTATATGTTAAAGAATCTAGTTTTGTTGTTGACAAAGACAAATATTTGTATTACAATATTATTCAAAAACCTGATGTATAATAAACACCATTTTGAAAATCTATGTGGTTTTTTACATTAAGTGTCCCAGAATTGTTGGACCTGAGGGAACGAACAAAACATAGGGAACCAGATGAAGCCCATTATGAAAAATCTGCCCACTGCCCACTATTTTAATACACCAACATTTGTTTTATTATATGGCCACATATTTGGCAATAAAAACACGAAATGATTACTATGTGTCTCAATGTGCAATTAAGCTGACTAAGCTGCCCGGGAAGCCAACTGTAGTTGCAGGTTCGGTGGTAACAAACTTATGATCTGATCAGCTTCAGAGGATTTTTCATGTCAGACTACATTTAACTCTTGAGCTCGTGTGCGCTAATTCGTTTCAGATATATATATATATATACCAGCAGGACATGGTTAAGAATGCCCAACCAGTCCAAAAGCACCTGCAACCGACAATCAATGTGCCATTACTGACGCAATTACATGAAAGCATCGCACTTCATGAGCCGTGTAATCCCAATGAATCCAGCCAAGACTAGCAAACAACCTCAGGTAGGCCTTGAATGGCAGCAACGATGCAGCTTACCACGAAGGTTAAAAGGCTTGTAACGTGAGGAGCCCCAGGAATCCAGACAATTGGATTATCCACTCCACCTAGAGAAATCAATTACCTGGTTGTATGCTTCAAGGGCTGCGTCGTAATTCCATACCTACTTGAAGAGGATACACACCCCACTCGCAAAGTGTATGCAAACCTATGAAAGAATGAGAAATAATGCTCCTGGGCGTTATGAGAGCTTCACATTCGTTTTGAATACTATACAGGAATGTGCACAGCGGAAACCGTCATCGACATAATGCGAAGTCCTTGACAGAGTCCCGCTTTCGACAGCTATCTTTTAATCTAGTGATTCAACAAATTGTAAATCCCTCCAAAACAAAACTGTAAGAATAAGGTAGCCAAGTATTTGTTGTATGTACACTCTCTCTCTCTCTCTCTCTCTCTCTCTCTCTCTCGCTATTCCGCCCGCATTCAATGGGGTGGTCTGCCTGTCTCGTGCGCCGATGATGTAATCCAAACTACGACTGGTGGCCAAGAGCCCACAGATTGACAGTGAAATGATGCTAGAAGCAAACTGGGCATCTGATCAATCCATTCTCGTTGCAATCCGGACACTGCGCAACGTCGTTCGTGTCAGTAATGATCTTGCAGCTGCCACTACACTCCGGGCATGGGACAAATCTTACATCACCGCAGCCATCGCATGGTTTTCGATACTGGACTACAGGAAGATCTTGTAAGAGCGCCCCCAATTTGCCGTCCTCGTGAAGGCGACGAACCTCATCAGGCCCGCCGATGTAGTGGCCTTTGATAAACACGCGGGGAACTATAACGGGTCCACCGAGTAAGTCAGTAACCTCTTGCCGAAATTCAGCGTGCATGGAGACGTCCCGCTCGTCGACCCACACGGGAAAGCTCTGCAAAATCATCTTCAGGCTGTGGCAATCTTCAAAGGTCTTGCGAACGCCGCGCAAGCTGGTTAAGTAGAGCACCACGCGGCGCTCTCCACCGGGCGGACACTTCCTCTCGAACTGCAACAGTGGGTCTGCAATCTCCGGAGGGTCGACTGGCATCACCTTCGCGAAGGAGATCCGGCGAGGGGCAAATGTTCCCGATTGAGACGCATCCCTGCTGCCGTCGCAGATCTTAGCTGAGTTCTCGAACGCGTTTTGGTTGCGGCTAGTCCACTGAACAGGACTGTCCCCGTCGTCGGTACTGGAGGTCGAGGCCTCTCCATCACTGCTACGAATATGGTACCAATCATCTTCGGAGGAGGACCTTTCCTCCAGGTGTATCATGTCTTGGAATGTTGCCAAGATGTCAGGGTCAAACAAATTGCTGTTCGTGGTCTCGTCACCAAGCAAGACATCCGAAACGGATGGAAACACCGTCTGGAAGTCCTGCACGGGAAACCCCATCACTTGCCCAGTCGGCAGCCCCGCATTACTCAGCGGTCCGCTGTATCTGTGTAAAAATTCTGCCGGTAATCTCGAGCTGTTCAGTGGCCCGCTGTACCTTTGAGAGAAACTTAACGGTGCACCCGCGTTGTTGAGAGGCCCGCTGTATCGCTGCGTGAATTCCACCGGCAAACCAACGCCATTCAGCGGTCCACTGTACTGCTGTGCGAATTCTGCAGGTAAGCCAGTACTACCGAGCGGCTGGCTGCTTCTCAGTGAATAATCCATGCTACGTACACTTGACAAATCCGTGCTGCCCCTATTTGAATACTCAGAACTTTGAGTCGTGGACGTTTGTGCCACAGAGGATGTGGAGTCGAGGGTTACGAGGTCAGGCCTTGCAATGCCTCCCTTATTCAACATCTTGAGCCCATCGACAGCAGAGAGCGATCTTGACCGGGGAAGGGCCTTCACCATGGGTGCATCTGACACTTTGTTTAGAAGATCATCTCCAATTTCTTTCGTAGAAACTGTAGTAGTCGTTAAAGGGGTTATCAGAGGTGTGGTTTGATCGTCTAATCCCTCCATGAGCTCCCATGTATTGATCGTTTCCGCTTCGCTGGGTCCCGGTGCTTCCTCTGCCTCTTTCGGATTCAGGGGATACTTGGCCTCAATTTTATCTTTCCTTAGTTGCTCCAGCTTAAATCTGGAGGCTCCCATAGCCATGTCAGTCCATTTCTTGGATGGCCTCTCGTCGCTAGTTATGGAGTCCGGCTTCCTGATCGTGCTGTAACCGGATGTGTTAGCACGTTTGCCTCCGATCACCGACACTAAATGCTCGTTAACATTCTCCGTCTCCAGCAGTTTCATCAGGCCATAGGTGCTGGACGTGAGTGCCACCACATGGTAATCGTAGTGCAAGTCACGAGGCTTGGTAGATCTGAGATGTGTGAAGGAACTACTCTTGCCGACCCTCCGGAAGCTCCCAATCCTGTCCTTTTCCCTCTCCGTGAAGGCTGCGTCATCTCTAGATACTGTGCACCCCATGGCGAATTCTTCTGCTTGGAGGGGTTACCGATCTAACGCTGCGACGATGCTACTATTCTTCCCACGTAGGCATGTCAAGAGATTCCTGCGTAAGCCTCCAAGGAATATCAACCTGACCTAGAACTAATCATCCTTCACACGCTCCGTCCCAGAAACAATTGATGAGTAACTCCTTGGATCTCCTTAGGAATGAAGTGTGCGTAAGGCAAGAGGTCTACACTACCTGACACAAAACGAAAATGACCAAATAAGTTTAGTTTTGGCTAGCAGAGGGATTCCCATCATCTAAGGAGTTAATAGTCAAAGGAGAACTAGAAAACCTTCACTACCAGTTCTATCTAGAGTTTAGACTGCGATTTCTGCACTCTTCGCACATTTGGATGCTAACACACAGCCTTAACATTTCCAGCGCTCTTGTTGCTGTCCCCTTTCAGGAGGTACATCTAAGGCCAAAAGGTGGAAACAGAACAATAGGTCGAAAAAAAATTTAAAAAGAAGAGAAAAAGCGCATGGGTTAACAGATCTAATAATAATTTCTCCTAATATGCACCTTCAGTGTGAACCATTTGTCTACATTTCGGCCAAAACCTCAGAGTTAAACTAGCCTTGAGCGTTCCTAGAAAGGTCGTTTCGAATCAGCGTTTTAAAGTGTCAAGCACTTCAATCTGTACATTAAATTCAGCCCAGAATCTAGCAGCTTCCAAAAGAAGCAACACTAAGTCGCAGAAAAACGAGGCTAGCAGCCACCCCCATCAATACCTAGCAGTGCCTCTCGAAAACAACAGGAAAGTGTTCTTAATTTCAGTTGCAAGAAACCAAGTGCAACACAGTAGCCCGATTGCGAATAATTTTAAACATGTCAATGGTCACTCTAAAGCCTGTCCCATACCTGAACACCTTTGTTTCTCTATCATTCTAATTCAAAAATTCGAAATCCTGTGTGCACAAAGAAAAAAACCCACATGCACATAACACTAAAAAGCAGATTATACACTGCTCAAAACTTACGATGCTCAAAATTTCCATCGTACTTCAACCCTCATCGCCGAATCAGCACAGTTACACAGCCTAAACAATTAAACTGGCATAAGATGTAGTGAAATTCCTGCACTACCGACTTTCCTATAACTGCACGAATTAATAGCCATCAAGGATACAAGCGCGATGCACCTAAATTAGTGAAGCTCTGATTCAGCCCTCTAAATGGCAATCTTGAACCACTGCTACACAGAACTTTGAGAAAAAATGATCACTGTCAGGTATCTAAAATTCACCAACTCGATGAAACCCAGGGACTTCTCAAGCTTCAGACAACTATTCTAAGCAGGCCGGTAACTCGCAGTAATTCCTCGCTGTGGACTACTCCATCAAAACTAAAAACCGCACTCCAAAATCAATAAAACACTAAAACTAAAACAATATATCACTCCCTCTCTCTGTCTGTCCTCTCTCTTGCACTCATTGCCTGAGATTCCAAGATTCATATCCTTGTTGAAGATCGCTGTCTGCTCAACCTTCAGTCAACTAAATCGATTACGCACATTGCTCCATCCCCAAATCCTACTCCATCAAAACAATTAAAGACAACGAAATAAACCAGCAGATTCCTTGCTCGCTCTCTCACACTCTCTTTTTCTGTCGCCGTACTCTACCACTGCCATTTAGACCGTAGCATGAGGCGCCACGAAGTCAGGATTCAAATTTCAAAAACTGTTTGGTGGGATTTACGAGGAGAACAGACATTGCTACAGGAAGCGGAGCTACTAGCTGGAAACATCCAGTTTCAAATTGCTCATTTCCTACCAACCACCCAAAAAGCTGATACGCAATTCCACCCTAACGCAACCAAATCAGCAAAAGTGCAGATGCGATGCTCCAGCAACAAAATCGTCGAGAGCAAAGACGACTAACCTCAAAAAAAAAAAAAAAAAAGCCAATTCTCTTCCTTAAGAGACAGTTCCTCTTCCTCAGATTCGCACACAGAATTATCACGTCCTCTCCAAAAGTTGCTTTAAACCTCCTCACTCGAACCTGTCCACCGACCTCGGCGATCACCCTCCCATCAGCACTACCTCCACATCCACCTTCACCGCGCCTCATCCAGCACCGCCAACTACCCTTCCGTGTCCGTCACCCACGCCATTGCACCGCGTGCCAAAATTGCACACGACCCCGCTCCACACGAAGCTCCTGCCGCACCCGCCTACACTAGATCCGCGACCGAAATCACACCCAAAAATACCGACCACGTGAAAGAAAGAAAGAAAGAAAGAAAGAAAGAAAGAAAGAAAGAAACACACAGAACGCGAACACCACACCCCCGAGCTCCACCTCACTCTCTCTCCTGGCACTGCCTGGGCTCCTGTCGAACACACACGTCGCTGCAACCAAAAGCAGCTCTCAACGAGAATGTGACTGAAGAAGCTTGCAAGCTGGCAGTCTAACTGAGACTCATCTCGCGTCGCTTCGCCTGTCCTGAATGATTGCAGCCTCGCGATTGATGCATGCCACTAGCTACTACTACTGGTGCTGGTGCTGGGGCTGCAACTAGCGCGACACGAGACTGACCGAGTCTGGTAGTGCTAGGCTCGGGAAGCGAGATGGCTCTCGATGCTTGACACACATCTCCACTGAAGGAAAACGCTCCGGGCTAAACTAGTTTCAGGCCATAGCATTGTCTAGAAAGTCCCACCGGGCGGGGCTGGGCGTCGGACAGGTCCCACGGCGCCATGGATTGGGCGGCAAGGATTTGCAGGGCTGGCGCCGGTTGGCGGGGCAAACATGGGCCCGCATTCTCCCCGCCCGCCTGCTCTTCACGACACTCTCCTCCATCATTAGCCCTCCTGCTAAACATGCAACAGCACCGCATAATTACCACAAAAACCCGGAATCCTTCCAAACCCCATCCTTTCTGAGGGGCAATGCGAATCCTTTCAATCAAAGCTCAGGCAATCCAACCTTCTTCAATTTTTTAGATTATTATTATTTTTTTTTATTACGGACTCGTGGTGATGCTCTCTCGCCTTTTTCTTCTACTTTCTCTCTTGCTCCTCTAACTTTTGAGATTGGATCACACCGTATGGGCTGTGACTCTTTGGCTGCATGGTAATTATTTTCTGGAAAAGCCCCCCTGGTACGACAAGTGAGTTTTTGAGTGGGGTTGAAGTGGCTTTTTTCCAGATGGTGATGAATTTTTCTCAGATGTGCAATTGTAGTTTTGCTTTCGGGTGTGTTTGTTTCTGGAGCTTGGTTGGTGTAGATTAAATACCACTTTGGACGTTTGCTAGAAGTTTGTTGATTCGAATGACGGCAAACAGCGGAGTCGACTTCAACTTCTCTCGTTGTTGGATCCACATTCTATATAACAGAGTTTTATTGGTTTCTTCTTCATTGGTACAATGATTTGATGTGCCCCTGTTTTTATTCATGTTTTTTTACTTCCTTCGGCACATTTGTTGAGTCAGAATTTGGAGCATTCTGGAGGCAGCCCATTTGAAAGCTGGTCCGAGTGACGTGAACTAAGTGAGGATATACCGTTTTTGCTGGGTTGTCTTAATGAGGCAAAACCATGCAGAAGTTGGAACGATTAAACCCGACATCCAACTATTGCGTCTCTTTTTGTTAGAATAATGCGGGGCACACATAATTTATCCACTTTTGGTCAAAGCTTACGTTTTACCAACTCCAGGGTCAGTACTGTAGCGGTTCATGAGAGCCTATCACATCATCAACTTGATGGGTGCTTCACATTTGGCAGTACAGCACACAAAGACTCCAAGGGACAAAAAGGGGGGAGAAGAAGAAGATAATAAATGAGCGCCATGAATGAAAGCAGAAACACCCTCTCTGCTTGTATGCGATCCATCAACTCTATCACAAGGATGGAGCTCCAAACCAACTTCACACATACTTGCTCCCGGAAGCTGAAACCATGCAGCAAAAGAGCAGCTAGTAATAGATCTCCACCTCTTCTCTTCTTTTCTTTTCTTTTATGTTCTGTTCTTTCTTCCCTTTGGGGCTAAGTCTAGCGCTATGCCCACTGCGTCGAAATGGTGGCATCTCACCTGCCGAGGAGGTGGCGACATGGATTACGCCTCGAGTTACGACACATTGAAGAACTTCTCCTAATCTAACAAGTGGAGCCTCCATGTCCATACCTAGAACAGGAACAAACAGTGGAACTATACATTTAGATTAGCGGTGCCACACTCTAATACTACCATCTGGCGCTTGCGAAAGCAGCAGCGTTGGTGAAGTGGAGTCAACGGATTTGGACAGAGCCAATGAATGAAACAGAGACAGAGAGTAAGAAGCTTGTGCTGCAATCTTGGCCGGCAACTTGGAGGAAGATTCACGGCGAGGTGAGGCACTGGCAAACAATGGTGGCTGGCGCTGCGTAGCCTTTAGTGGCTTCGGTAACTGAAAGGTGGGGATTCGTCGAGGTGCGACGATTCGCTCGGTCCCCAAATTGCAGCCATTCCCCGCGATGAGACCCCACTGGGATTTGTCCATGGAGCAGCGAGCCAGGAGCATGATCAGGCTTATCAAAGCAAGGAGGGATTCACCGCGCTCCGGCACATTATTCATGGGCGCGGTGTTGCTTGCGGTGGCAGGGACCAGCGAGTGAGTAGCACATGAAAAACAACAAAGCTTCTCACTCTTGTAAGCAATAGATCGTCACCATCACGCGATGCAGTGCAGCCTGGCTGCAGTTCTACAATGTTACGAGCCATCTTTGTCTTGGGAATGAGGGCATGGGCCGTGCATTGAGGTTGCAAATAATGCATGTGGAGGGGCTGTCGTTTGCGTGAAGGCTGATGGTGAGCTTGAGGCCACAGCATGCACTGGTGTAGGTCCCTTCAGAGCCATGTCGTAGCTTTTGCAGAACTGGATCTACCACCATTTTGTGTTGGACTGGAATGAATGTACAGCTCGCCATCACCGGTAGTCTCCATCAGGATTCTTTGGTTTTTTTTGGGTGAAAGTAATTATTTACTTCTTCGTTTCCAGAAAAGAAGTGCTTAGTGTTACCCCATCGACTGTTGTAGTTTTTGATTTTGAAAATTTACCGAAAACATCTTTGAAAACCACAATTTATTAACCTTTTTTTGCAACCATGAAGTATACACATTTTATATTTTTCAGTATTATTTTCGTGTTTTTTACTCTAACGTTGAGTGGTCTGGTAAGTGTTTTTTCACATAGATTTGATTGTATTGTAACATGTTTTCCTTAAAAAATCTACACAATGTCTGAGTTTTTAACGCTCGTCATGGCCCGTATTTTTTTACCACATGTATCCAATTTGTTTATCAACCCCACTTTACAATTCCGTATTCATCAAGCATGCCCACATATTCCCAAAATGTAATGTACAGTTTTGTTCATTTCATTTCAATCATTTCATCTCACTAATATACAAAGGATGAAACGTCCATTAATGGTATTCAATATACAAATGATCAATAGTTCAGAAATACCATAAACCTCACAATAATTAAGCTATTTTTTAAAAATAAATAAATAAATAAATAAATAAAATAAAATAAAATCTTCACATGATTTTTTCAAAGAAAAATATCGTCTAAAACCCACACCCTTAAAAGATCCTAATAGTTTATAAATGAACAAACACAAACAAGATATTTTCAACAATCGATCTGTGTTCAGTTGACACAATAAACAGAGCAAACGAACGGTAACGATCAACTTGACCAAATGAAGTGTTCAAAGCAAACCGATTAGGAACTGATGGACGAAAAGGAACAGGTCATTACAATAATCAAGCCAAAGCATCGGGCAGCAGTGGACGACGGCAAAAGCACAAAGTTCTTCTTCCCGTTCAAAGGGGTGTCTTGATGGATTCGAAAAAATGGGGTCGAGGGAGATGAATTCGTTGACCTTGCAGCTGCGTGAATGCGGAAAAATAAATGTCACGCTTGCAATCATCTCCTCCTGCTTTGCTTGCCGTTAAGGGTCACACCGGTTAGTGTAATGAGCCCTGCTCGGCACTGACTTATTTTTGGCAGGACAGAGTAACTGAGCTCACGACTGATGCACTTGCAGTTAATGATGCGCACTGATCTCGCCACAGCGCTGCGATGACACAAACGTCGACATGCAGATCAGGTTGTCCCAGCTGCGGCAAACTTAAATCCAGCCACCACTAACTTAGGGGAAACTAAGGAAAGTGGCTTCGAGAGCAAGTGGTATCCTTTTTCTGGTTTAGGATTTAGGGTTGTGGGGTAGGAATGAGCCGGCTTTTCAACCCAAGTGATGGGACTGGAGTGAAAGGGGGCGTGGTTGTGTTAAACTGAAGATGGTTGAAGTACAAATAAATAAAAGAAAAAAGAAGCGGTATTAAGTGGGGTATTGTCTCTAGTTTCCGTCATTCAAGCATCGAATCACTCATATCATTGTGTGGAAGTTGTCAAAATCGTAACTACCGTTCATCAGAGAGAGACTCTGCATCACAATTATATTAGACTTCGTACCTTTCTTTTTTGCATTTCCGCTGATCCGATACTTCACGTGGAGGCTTTCGAAACGATGCGTGTACAGCTTTCAAGACGAAATGGTACGAGTATGTTTTCAAAGATGATAATTAATTAATCAGTTTAAAAATTGTCGCCGTTATTCATTGAGATGCACCCATATCGGGAGCGAAAGGTAATCAATTCTTATTTCTACTCGGTTTCAGTGGGCAGGACTTCAACAGATTCCGCAACTGTTTTTACACGGTTACGTCCAGCGAATCAACGGAACGATTAGCTCAAATTGAATAAAGCTGTTAAAAGGTGGTAACAGGAGAGATTACATTAGAAATCTAAAACTAATTGATGCAAGCACCCGATCTGAACATTTCAAATGTTGCGGTTGAAGTTGGATCATATACTTCAAATACAGAAAAAAAATAAACATCAAAGGTTGAAAAGATCGAGTGACGAGGCAAAGCACTTTCAGCCATTCCTGACAGACTATTCCAACCTTATTTATTTTGGAAGTGACCGAAGATGTTCATCGATCGAGGTCTTGGAGACATTTCAGCCTCTTTTTGAATTCTCGTCTTTGGCTTTATACGCCTCCTTTTCTTGGAACCCCCAATCCTGAAACCACTACACAAAAACGCATCTGAACAGTTCCGTCCAAGCCCTCTTTACAATACAACCAAGGGTACTGCCCACCGAGAATTTCACATGTAATGGAACACCTCGATGTGTGAGTTAATCTCTCTTCGGGACCTTGCGCGGAGAGAGGTAAAAAAACATTTCCCATCCAACCGATCAGCTCAAAGTTACGACGACCATCCAACCCCATTCATTGGCATCACTGCCGCGTTCGACTTGTTTGTATAAATAGTGTCGCATTATTGAGGCATTAAGAAACCCAGGGTGAGGTTCTGTGTTATCTCTGACTAAGTACCAGAGCGACTATACTTGGACACAGTGATGAATGCATTACGTGAATTCTGGCTTCATGGTGAGAATTGTGCGGCGTCACCATCTGTGCTAGACGAGGAAAACACACACAAACACACACAAACGGACAAACGCACAAAGGAGCTCACTGCCGCCGGGTGACGCGATAAGACGTCGACAGACGTTGCGGCGCATCGGGCGGCATGGCTACCTCCCCCTTTTAGCACTTCGTGTGTTTGCAAAATGATTGATAGAAA